AGAATTACCTGCCTAAAATGCACAATTACTTCCCTGCTCACCAATCTCCATTTGCTCTTCACTGCCTACTACCTGACTTCTTGGCTTGATGTCATTCATGATTAAGCCCTCAGTCTCCTCTGGCCTCACCTTTCATCATAACTCCTATCATTCAGTCAAATGAAATCTCAACATGTCAAGCTCTTTCATATCTTTAGGCCTAGAAACATATTCCTTTGGTTTGGAATGCCTCTTTCCTGCCCTTGTCAGTCTGAGGAACTTCAAGTCTTCAAAACTCAGGTCAAATATCATCTCTTTTGTGAAGCTTTCCTTGGTCCCCAAAACAGAATCAATCCCTTTTAGATGTTCCTTTAAACATTCTTTTAAAAAACTGTCATGTATGTTTGTTTTCATTTATTCATTCAACATTTATTGAATATCTATTATAAATCTAGAACTGGAGAGAGAAATATAGACAGGGAGTTTTTAAGGAGCCCAGTCTGGTGGGGCAGGAAGACATTTAAAACAATTGCAGAACAACAAGTTCAGTGTTACCATAGTGATATAAACAGAGACTGAGGTAATATAGGAAAGGAGTAAATTCTTGGGTGTGTGGGCCATATACAACTAACTCTAAGTGATTAGTTAGTTCTCTTAACACTCAAATTCTTCCAAATGAAAAATACCTGAATATCAGGAAGTATTGTTAATTATGCACTTGGGCCAGGGATGAAAGAAGCTAATTAAGAGTTAATTTTCCTAAGGGTAGTCTCACCAGCATAAGGAAAAATAAATGTAAGTTCCTTTCCCTATATAGGTAGGTCTAAGTTTTTCCAATGTGTCCAAGATTTGCTCTCTAAAAATGGATCCACTAGCACCTCCTAACTACCCACACTTTCCTCAGCTGGGCACCAGTTCATGTGGGCACTGAGGAGTAGTCAAAGGAGTATTTATATGAGCGCTGACATAGAATGCACAATCAGACCTCTGTCTGATGGAGTTGCAGCCTCTTGAGAATCTGGAGTAGTAGCCAAGGGCGGTGGGGGTAGGATGTGAAGGAGCAAGATAGAGAAAAATCCCAATCAGGACTTAGTTTCAATTAAGCTCTCAAAATGCCCTTTCTACTGCAAATGCCACAGATAATTCTCAGAACTATATTTTACTGTTGTTTAACAATTTTCTGGTTTTAAAAATAGTGGTGTCCTCATGGAATTACAAATATGGGAAAATACAATGAAGACAAATGAAGGCAAATTCAAATAACTAAGAGGAAGAAAATTTATATCCATCACCTGTAAATTCAATGTGTTCAAAATCAGCTCTTCAAAATCAGCTCCCTTTCCAATTTTTGGACATACTACTTCATTATCTTTTGCTCGTTCTCAGGCTCAAAAAGCTTGGGGTCTTCTTAGAGCCCTCCATCTCTTCCAAGTCCTATAACTAGGTAGGCCTCAAATTCCACAGATTCTGCCTTCAACATCTTTCATTCCAGCCCAGAAATGAACCCACAAACTTTTGGTCAACTCATCTTCGACAAAGGAGGCAAGAATATACAATGGAATAAAGACAGTCTCTTC